CAGGGTCCTAACACTCTAGGAATGTATTATGCATGTATATATGCATAGAGTTAGTTATGGTCCTGGTTGTTTTAATAGCAAGGTTTCTCAGCCACTTACCTCCCTTGTCTTCCTGAATGGACCTCAGGATGCCGACTTGGGCAAAGCCAGACGGCATGAAGAGCGTGTTGCGCGCTCAGGGGAAGCTGCCTGCCCAAGCCGTTCGAGACAATTTTCGGCATGCGAGGCCGTATCTGCCGCTGCCAATGCGCAATCAACCAGACCGAATCTTACTGACTGTCATTTTGAACATATGTTGACCTTGACAAAGTTTTTCACTTGAAGATCTTGGAGTTCTTGGAGCCCCACCTTCTGTGCCAAGGCTTCATGTACGTGGTCTTTCGATCTGAGCTTGCCTGTGCTTGCTTAGTAACCTTTCAGACTGCACAGCATAGACATAGGTTTTGTCACCATGCCAGGACTGAGCGGGTGAGGGGCTCAGAGGCTCTAGCTTGGGGCAATCGCTGAGTTGGCTGGAATGATGTGGGATGATCGTTTGTGGGATGCACTCAGGATCATGCCAAGAGGGTCTTTTCTTGCGAAAGTGAAATCCCGCTTTATCGTGGGAGATGGTCTCAGAGCCAATTGCATAGGGAACGGCTTCAATGAAAGACTTCTTGACCAGGCTAGCTGTCCAGTATGAACGTGAAGGAAGTGGCTCAGAGCCTGAAAATGCAACGTTCTCAAGGTTTACAGCAGTGTGTCTGGAGCAAAGCAGTAGACAGTCAAGTTGAACGGTTGAGACACTGCAGCTCCTTGGACAGAACCTTCCAATGAGTGATATTGTCGATTAGGTCCTTTGGCAAAACTTCAGCAATGATGCACAGGTCCATATCTTTGCGCGATGTGTGCTTGTACCATAGTGATCCAGTGGACAATGGCACCTTGCAGGGTATGCGATATCGAGCTTTGACTTCAGTATGTGCCATTGCTGGTGCGATTTTGCTGTGGGGTCTTGAACTTGGGCATCGCGGTTCATGAGTCGAGTGGACACTGCCAGTGCTCTCCTTGAGCTGGTGTTGCGAGGTCTTTTGTTTTACTTCCCTTTCGCAATGTATGAAGCCTGAATCTTGGAATGGCCGTCCATGGCTCTTCTGAAAGAAGCTGAACCCGATCTACTCTGAGGCCTGGTCATACTCAGCCTTGGGCCGGGCTCTTGATTAACAATAACAATCCTTTGCAGTACAGATGCTGTGATGTCGTCTTTCATTTTGTGAGGCGAGCCAACAGACTTTACCTCTGAAACAACCTTCAGCATGTTGGTTGTGGTGCAGCCCTTGGTTCTCTTGGCACGAACTTTCAGTTTTGGCGCGGAGAGACTATGAATGAGACATTTCCTGCTGCACTCCACTTGGTTTCCTCGCTTTGGTTCAACGAGGCTGGCAACCAGATCTTATACTTACTTTGCGAGAAAGCCTCGCAGTTCATTGGCTTCCGCTTTGCCGCTAGCTGAGCCCCTACTTACTCTGATAAAAGTAAACTTGGATTGTGGTTTCATTGGGGTGCTTATCCAACCTTTTTCCAGGCGAGCCAGCAATTGACTGCATACATTGGGCTTTACACGTCGCAACCTTTGTTCAGAGCATCCAGAGAGTCAACGGGTAAGAGTTTTTAAGGGAATTTGTTGATGCTCTTTGTTTTTTCTACTATCCGCCTAGCTGACACGAGGATGGCGCTCTTATCCAATCTTGCCATTGACTTGGCAATTCTTTTCTACACGACCCGGATAGCAATGGAAAATGTGGGCCTGCCCCTTGGAACCACAGAATGTTGCTCAAAGTTCAGTTTCACAGAAAATCTAGGAACCAAATCATTAGTGCGAGAGCTTCTTCAAGGAAGCTCACCCCTGCCCTCAGGCGGGGGGAGCTTCGAAGAAGCGTGAGCTATCCTGCGTCCATGCTAGTAGCTTAAGTAAGGTACTAGCTACCTCTCACTTAATTAAGTAGGCGCCTACTTAATTGAGTAGGGAGGGGGGGGAGCGGGCTAAAATAAAGGCTGAAGCTTTGTTCATCTCAACCGAGGCCTTGACGTAACCCGTGCGGCCTTCCTGTTGGGCAACGATGAGTGCGCCTGCGATTTTGTGCCTCTCAGAAAGCAGCCACCGAGCCACAGCATTGTGCCAACCAGGATGATTTGCTTTCCAGTCAGAGCTGGAAACTCAGGTTGCCGGAATCTAGAAACTGTAGGATATTTGGTTTGCCCACGTGCATTGATTTCTGTGCCTTCAGGCGCGAATGGGGGGCCCGGTTGATGTCCTACAACTTTCCTGCATGTTTCTTGCTGCCATTCTTGCAGGGAACCCAAATTTTATGAGTGAAACAATAAGCTACTAGGAACAAGTGCATCGCTACTAGTAACAAGTGCCTTACTAGTAGTAACAAGAAGCTATTAGAAGCATGAGATGTCATGAGGTTATGAAATAGACCTTCAACTGATTGCAGTTGGTCCTGAAGAGAGAGATGCCAAAGTGCCAAGGTGTGAGGCTTTGTCCTGGCCTAAGTTGCAAGGGGCACTCTGCTGGTTTGCTGTACCATGCCCTGCTTTGGAGAGGTTCACGGTGATAGTGCCGTATCATATCTACAAGAAGGTGGTAGGCACTCAACCTATCAGTCCGAATCATAGCTTGTTCAGCCTAGGTGGCCTAAATGAACAGTGTGCACTGTCAACTCTCATAATAAGGTCAGAGAGCAGCCGACGCTTTCTTGCTGCTATCTCCTTTGCTTCAAAACGGGAGGGCCTTTCACAGAAGTTTGACAGCGAAACCTGGTGTATGCTCAGGCCACCTTTGTTTGAAATGGGTCGATATGCTGATGTGGACCACCCCTGAGCTGAACTCTTCTCAGAGGTTAGAAACACACTACTTACTTTCCCCAGGTTCTGAACATGACGCAAGCAACCATCTCTTTATGCTTCAGCGCAGGACCCCAAAGTTTTTGTTGCTGTTTGAAAGCAACTACAAACTTGCAGAATAGTGGAGGCTACGTTCTTCCAACTTTGGTGGGCATGTTCATCGGCCACACCCTGGTATATGTGACTGCCTGAGAGTCCTGAGAGCATTCACCATTTCGATGGAGCCTCCTGCCCGAGCAGGCTTGGGATCACTACAGGGTGCTGAGACACGTTTGGCTCCCTTTGTGGGGGCGACTTTTTTTTCAGGGGCCGGGGCGGGGGCAGGCAGGCCTTAGCGGTAGGAGTCGCTACTAAGGGCTTAAGCAGCTACTAGCTACATCTAGCTAGTGGACGCAGAAGGGCTCAGGCTGCTTCAAGGAAACTCCCCCCTACCCTCAGTCGGGGGGAGTTTCCTTGAAGAAGCCTGGAGCCTTGATGATTTGGTTCTCAGATGTTCTCAGACTTTTTTGGGGAACAGGGCTGCTGCAGCTCTATTCAATGGAGGAAGACCGTGCAGTTGCAGTTTTCTAAGGTTCGCAAATTCAGATTTACCTCCTTCCGCACGGAAAAGGCCAGACATCACTGTTGAGATTCATGGGCCCCATGCCAGAAAGACGAGACCAATTCGCTTCAACTGAGGCGGCTCAACGAATGCTTGCACTTCCAGGGGCGAGTTCCAAGCCTGGTGCATGATGTCATCTCATGATGTCATCTCTCTGGAAGAAATTCATTGAGACACATCTTCAGCTCTTTGGGCTTGCCACAGCTTGCCACAGGCCTCCTTGCCAGTGCCATGCTTCAATTGTTCCAGGCCAAAGTGATTATGTGTCATTGAGCTGCAGCCACAAGTGCCACAAATCAGTACGTGATGAGAAACTTGTTTGTGGGCGTAGCTTCAGCGTGAGAAAAGCCACAAGGTTGGTGCCGTGGCAGTCTCAGCACTGTCTTCTTGGAAGTCCTTGAGGCACTGGGAATTGTCCCCGATTGGCCGAGGTAACACCTAGCACCGAAGCTGTGGCCGCAATTGTGATGATCGGTGCTGCCATAGCTCACATTGCCTTGCACCTGTCCGCATCTCAAAATCGGCGTCCTTGAGCTTTTGAACGTGAACTCTGCAAGACTCTACAAGGCTCGTGCTGCAGTACGTGGTGCCTTGGGTTGGAGCAACTGAGCACACAGCTGCAACGCAGACCTACGAACAGGCAGGAGCAGACTGAGCTGGGCAGTGTTGGTTGCAGAGCTTCGTAGTTTCCACAACTCAGTCAGAGTCTAGAGTCTCAGCTTTGATTAGACAGAGGTTGCGAAGATGAATCCGGGGAATTGGTTCAACATGAATCCGATCCACTGCTTGCGGTCGAGGCGGAGCATTTAAGCTTACAACCTAGACGCCTGCAATTGCAGTCAGGTATGTTCATCAACATGACCCGCCCTGTATCTTCTACCAGATTGGGAAGGCGAGGGTGTCCCCAGACTCTCCACTTCAGAGAGGTCACTTGGCAGGAGCATCTCCTTGAACCCAATGCCAAGCTCGGCCTGTTCTATAGCGCGCCGGAGTGGAAAAATGCACTGACCTTGGGTATCCCGGTGCCCATATGTTACTGAGAACCACGTAAAATAGCCACCGTGTGTTCAGCTTGGATGGGTGGCCTAGGAAGCGCCATCAACGTATTTGGAGTTGGCTCGGTGGTAGCCTTGGCACCAGCAGATTTGGATGAAAACCAGCAGGCACAAAGAAACATGAAGATGTGAGGCTCGCAAGACGATCCCTTGCACGGGGGACGTTGGTCGCCATCTCCTTACGCTGCAAACGCTTTTCTCGACACATCATCCTATGGTGCCAGGCTGACAGTGGCATGCTGCCACAAGGAGCTCGAGACGAGGAGAAACCGTGTAGCCAGATGATTTTCACAACTGCAAACTGCTTCCAACCTTATTCATCTTATTCAAAATCATTCAAAACCGCTGTTTTTGTGCATATGGGCGCGACTTACATATTGAGATGTATATATCATGCAGTTCGAGCATTATGCACCGGTACAAGTACAAGTCTACAGCAATGTTTATCGATTGACCTTCAGACATCATCACCCACGTAGCATCCGGAGTTTGTGCCTCCTGCCATGAAATGTCGCCCCAAGCAGCTATTGTTGGTTCATGATCCGAGCGTCACTTTTGAGACCCTGTACGAAGACGACCACGTGCTTGCGATTGCCAAACCATTTGGCGTTCTGGCTCACCCATCTCCTGGTTTCTGGGCCAAAGGTACTTTGGCCCATGCCTTAGTTGGTCGAGTTAGTGATGAAATGATGCAAGAAAGGGGTGATCACAACGAGTGGGACAGCTACATTCCACGTTGCATTGTTCACCGCTTGGACAGTGGCACCACCGGCGTGATGGTGATTGCCAAGAGCCCATCCGCAGAGAAAAGTCTTGCGCACCAACTCCGCGCTGTCGATATGCTGGACATGGCACATGAAGGCAAGAAACTTTATGTAGCCTTGCTCCTTGGTCACCCTGGCAGTGAAACGAAGTCATGTATCACAGCCAATGGAGCTATTGGCCGGCATCCCCAGAATGCAAGGCTGTGGGCAGTCATACCTGGTGGCAAGCCCGCCAAGACAATCTTCCGCGTTCATGCGTTTAGCAAAAAGCATGGCCTATCGCTTGTAACGGCGGAGCTTTTCTCCGGCAGGACGCATCAGATCAGAGTTCATGCCGCTTTTCTGGGTTCACCAGTTGCCAATGACAATTTGTACGCTCGGTCGCAGCTGCAATCCTTCCGACACTCGTTCGGCAAGGGCCTGGCGGAGCGCCGACAACTGCTGCACGCATGGGCACTCAACATAGAACACCCGCTAAAGCAACGACGGCGAAGCTTACAGTTGCGGGCGCCACTCCCGCAAGACATGGCGAACATTATCCAGCAGGTTTGGCCTGGTATGACGCTTAATCCAACGGCATGGTCTGGAATGCCTGGATGGCACAAGTCAGAAACACCCCGAGATCCAATGATGGCTTTCTGTGCCAATGCACGTCATGAGATGCTTGGCTAATGAGGAATGCGCATGTATGCAACTCCATGTCATGTTAAAACAATGTTAAAACACGTTGACCTTATGCTACCCTCGGATCACTAAGGAGTTAACGGAGGTGTGCCGATTTGGGCGTCCTTACTCATCAGCCAACGACTGCTTGGCAGATTTGCTGCCAATCCTTTCTCAGCACCCTATACATAGTGAAAATGATCAGCATCCGAGCATGCTTGAACAGTTTCAGAAGTGCTTTAGAAAAACCCATCAGAGGCACAAATCCTTGCTCATCAGAGGCTAGTATAATTGATTGGTGAGCTGTCTTAATCATGCCCCTAGTTGCCATTTGACAAAACTCCAGAAATTCAGGTGTGGCAAGGAGATTGGTCCAGATTGGACCTTGCTCATTACTAACACTTTGGCCCTTCAGTTGTCAGAGTTAGATTGAATCTGTGAGGCCTTCTGAGCTCGAGAAGTGGTGGACTGCTTGGTGGGAGGCCTCCGCAGAGGGCAAGGCTTGGCTTCGTGAGCGAGATGCCTGGGAGCAGCTTGGAGAGAAACAAAACAAAAAGCGTGCAAAAACGCCCAAAGAGGCCAAAGTTGCCAAAGCCAGACGGCAAGAGTTGCCAGAGCGGCCGCACGCTCCGAGACACGCCCGTCAAGCGTCCAAAAATGAGAGCCACATCGACGCCCTTTTGCCGCTGTTCAATCGGGTTGCTGCAGGAATGTTTGAGTTTTGCATATTTTGAGTTGCTAGTGACTTGTGGGATGAGTAGAGTTTGTCCTTGTGCGAGGAGCTTCAAAGAGAGCAGTCCTTGCCTCGGTCGGACTCGGTCGTTGTTTCATGTTGTTTCCTGTATTTCTGAGGAAGCACATGCTTTGAACATGAAGCTTGATTTGTCAGGGGATGGGGGTGCTTCGTACGTTATATTAATATATATATATCGTTTTATATTATTCTCAGGATTTGTGCTGTTCCTGAGGAGGCGGTTGAGGAGCGTGCATGAGTTTGGTCTTCTGATTGTCAACAAATCTCGAACTGCAAGCTGCAGGATGGAAGCATGGCGGAAGCCCACAGGAGTCTGCTCCATCCACCGATCACTGCTCTTGTGTGCTATTCATGGAAGCTGCTTTGGTCAGGACAGGGCCCCAGGGGCAATCTGCAGGCAATCACTTGATATGGTCAGTAAGACTTCAATCCCAGTGCGCCTTTGCAGTCTGCTGATTTGTGTGACCAAGGCTTGAATATTTGCAATATTGTCATATATTTTCAATGATTCTTTTGACAGACCGCCTGGGGCTTCGCAGCACTTGGCTCGAGAGAGAGAGAGATGGAGTTTTTCGAGATTGTGCCGCGCCAGCCTGAGAGAGAACGGCCAAAAACTCCCAGAAGTGCCTCCTACTTTCGAGTGCATCGAGCAACTACTCCAAGACCACCTTCTCGCTCAAGAGCAGAGAGGGCAGAGCAAGACAGCGACGCCTGGCAGAGCAAGACAGAGCGATGGCGAGAATCAGGGCAGGTCCGTTGGCCACCAACCACCTGTGGACCTGACAGAGAGGCGCCCGAGGTTGTGCCTGTGCGACGATACAACGAGAATATGCAGCAGACCTGGCAAGGAGAGCTGTGGACAAGGTCCCTTCGCAAGCCTGGGGTTCTCATGCAGCACCCTACCTTTGCTGTATGCAACATAGGCGCCAAAGAGTTGCATGATGAATGGGGGCATGTCGTACCCAATTCCACACGGCAGTGGCCTTTTAGCGGGTCAACCGTGCCCAGCAGCTCGACGCTACCTGCCAAAGTGGATATGAAGAGATGGATCGAGCGCCCCGTTTCCACGGGAAAGTATGCAGTAGACCACATGAGAGGCACCAGATACCAGTGGGATACAGCACCTCGTCCGTGCTTGATCGGCATTTGACATGCAGATGAATGCAGACACTGCAGAAAATGGCTGCAAAGACTGCGTTGCTCTCTTTTTCTATGCCTTGCAAGCACCTCGCCAGTGCAGCCAGCAAAGGGTAGATAATTCACCGACTTAGAAATAGAGGTATGTTCCAATTCAAATGCCTGCAAAATACCGGTTCCATCCGGTTCCACTTTAGAGTCAGACGAAACGTCGCCGACTTAGACCTGAGGCACCTCAAACGAGGTTGGCACCTCCCCTTTACCTGTGCAGCACCTTCCAGACCAAAAAAGGTCGCAAGTTTGGGTCGATGTTGAGATCTCGATGCACGGAGCCTAACGGAGCCTCACGGAGCCTCACGAAGCCTCAAATGCTGTTGTAACATAATGGGCGATGGCCTCCAGGACTCCAACCTACTAGCGATGGCCTCCACCCTAGTAGCGATGGCCTCCAACCTAGAAGCGATGGACTCCAAAGGGTGCAATTCTGTTTGTGTTTGTCCAAGTTTTGTGTCACACCTCCGCCAGGTTCCAAGGCTGTCGAGAAGCCCCGCAAAAGTGTTGTGACCTTTGCGCAGATTCCTCAGCACCGGCTTCTTCGTGCCAACTGTGAGTGCTGCGCATAGCAGGCGCCAAGTTGGCGGTGGTTGATTGTTTTGTAAGCAACCAAGGTCTGATGAACATGATGCAGACCAAGATTAACTGCGATAGCCCGTGGTAGCATGTGGATCGAGTTGATGAACATTGACCCTTTGCCAGACCCTTAGAGTGGAAATGTCAGATTATTCTTGGCGACGAGCTATTTTCAAGTGAGCACGGCTTTTGTGCCGGGGTAGTTGCATAAGTTATACAGGTCTCTTCCTTGAGGCGGTGTGCCTAGCAAACTTGGGGTAGTTAAGTTGCCGATTTAGTTCAGTCCACTTCCTACAGTATGTTTGTTCTTCCTGCACTCTGTGGTTCGCAGTGTCCATAGTGTTCGTTATGCCACGGTCTAATTAATTGGTGGCAGTGTTAACGGCCAACAGACGTATGGTGTCAACAGAACGATGAAGAAAAGGTATTTGATACAGTAGTTATATTGGCTTGTTCAAAATTGAAGTTTGCAAAGCACAGCAGGCACGCAGCTACACTCCCGATTCCAGGATATAGCCTCATCTAGCCTTGTGTTTTGCAAAGAGTTGCCCCGCCGGTGCTCATAGGAGACAGGGAGTTGTACTGGTGCTGCTTGTGATCCTTCTGTTCAGACCGACCCGATATGGTCAAATTCCACCAAGACCATCGCAAATCTTGTGGATCGATGCAAATCAGGGTGCAGCAAACCATGGGTTGACTCACAACAAGCAGGCGTCACCAGCCTCAGCCTTTATCGTTCACCGATGGTCACCATTTTGCCAACGTTCCTGATAGATTGGCCAGACTTTGTGACGCGGGGTTTATGAGCAAGGATTTTGAGTTCACAGTGGACATCGTTTTCCTTGGTTCCAGACGGCAGTTGCAGCTTTGTGTTGAAGGACTCTGACCTTGTGGGAGATGTGAAAGCCCGCCTTCGGGAATTGGGTCATGAGCCTGTGAAGCTCCTGTTTCATGGCTCAGCCCTTCCAGATGTTCGGACTTTGGGCTCTCTCGGTGTCGGCCCAACCGCCGAAGGCGTCATACCATCATTGTATTGTTTAGAGGCAGGTGCAGAAACATCAGAAGCTCGTGTTGCCAAAGAGGACCGGGAGAAGAGAGTGCTGCAGGTCGTGAACCTTTCAGGTGGCTCAATTCACCTCTCGGTGAAAGAGTGCGATACCGTTCGGCTGGTAAAGCAGTCACTGTCGAAAACTGTGAGCCTTCCAGCCGACCACATTTCCTTGCTCTACGAGGGAATGGAGCTGACCGATGATATTGTATTGTTTGACAATGCCATTTCCTCTGTGTTCCTTTTGGAGCGAGAGTCATCCAGCACAAGTGATGCAGAGCTGCCTGCTGTCAACCTTGTTCCGAGTGAGCCTAACATTGCAGGGGGGCTGCTTGACCGCCGGATTGATGGCTTGTGGTTTCGTGCAAAGGTGCAAAGGATGCACGTCCTGAACGAGACCTGCACGGTTGATATTCAGTACCTTGATGACGGAAATGTTGAACTTGGTGTGGAGTTGTCAGAATGTAGATTCTTAAACTGGCCGCCGGATTGATGCAAGCAGCCGGAAGGGGAACTGCAATTGGCAATAGAAGTTGCAACGAATGTCTTGTCGTCCTAAGCGGGCCTGCCGCCAGATTGATTCCAAGCTACTACTGCAAGCTCAGACACAGTGGCTGGCACCACGCCAGCCATCCGGCTTCGTTGTGACCAGAAGTTGATCAGAGAAAACCCGGTCACAACGCTGGATTTCTGACTCAACGTGTGATTCGATATAGATCCTCGTCGTCGTGCACTCCATGATTGTTAAGAGTTATGATATAGCTTTGGTCAACGCATCGGAACAAATCGTTCACTTAAAGTTGCTGTGCACGCCCGTGGGAAAAGGTGAGCTCAACCAAAAGGGAATGAATGAAATCCATGCGTTCCTTTTTGCATTCTTTGCTCTGCAGTGGCCGAAGTGGCCACAACCTGGTCAGTTGCTGCAGGCCTCATGTGGAACAGGAGTTGTTGCCCTGAACCTTGCGGAAGCTTGTTTGACTATGTCACTATGTTAGATTTGCATTCATATTTCAGCATGGTTTCCCAACTTGCACCTGCACTGAGGACTTGGTGGCTGAGCATCAGTGACTCTGGTTACTGCTTAGGAGGGAACACGAAGAACGAGCAGAAGCTTTGCAAAGATGACGGTCGAGCAAATGGTGTGAGCGGCAAGGATGACAGAAAAGAGAAAGAGGTCATCAAGTGTAGATAGTGAGACGGGAAAACACACATACAGCATGAAATTGACACTGCCGGTGCGGAAAACGCACAAATCTAGAAGTGTACCAAGCTTGAACGTTGAAGGGATTGTGCACAAATCATGAAGTGTACATCTGAAGCCCCTTTTGAAGCGAGGAAAATGACCGACAGCTGGTCAGCACGCGGGTTATGAGCCCAACTCCTTTTTAGGAAGACCACCATCCAGTTGGGTGTTGCTGGCCGCCATGGGTGGTGACACGCCGGATGGTTCGGGTGGCTCCATGGAGAGTGCTCGCGATGAGGAGCAGCTGGCCTTGATGGACCGCGAGACCACGGGGCTGGAGTTGGTTCCGTCGGTGCCGGCTGGGAGGCCGACGACCTATGGTCCTCAGAGGGCTCGGGAAGAGACGAGGAAGAAGGATGGGAAGGGTCATGGTGCTGTCCCATCGGTTGACGTCAATCCGTTTTGGAGCCAGACTCTGAAGGACGAGGTGATGCTGAGGGCTATGCGCCCCACTTCATTGCCGTCGGCGCCTACGACATCCTCCACGGTGGAGCACCCCACGGCTGAGGACATGGGAATGGACATGAAAGAGGTCTTCAAGATGATCATGTCACAAAATTCGATGCTCAAGAAGGAGCTGGCTGACCTGAAGAAGAAGGTTGAGGACTCCAATAAGGAGAGGGCTCGGGATTTCAAGGAGGCGGATCGACCAAAGCCTCCGACTACGACCGCTCCACCGAGCCCACCGACAGGTCCGCCGCCCGCTACTCCAGAGGCAGAGAAGAGGGCGGGCATGGCTGCTTTGGGAGCGATCCCGGAGTTTCCGGGAGGTGAGACTGGGGAACTACGTGATCTAGCCCATCGACGTTCGGGAGTACGACCTGAAGCCGATCGAGGACCCCCACCAGTACCTGAGTCTTGGTTGGGTTCGCTTCAGGCTGGAGCCCACGGAGGAATGGGCTATGATGGGAGAGATGTGGTTGGAACGCATCGTCAAGGAACCCATGGAGGGCTTGGACCTGGACGCGGAGTACTACCAGACTGCGCGGTGAGGAATGGGGAGGTGAGCAAGGGATCACCCTTGGAGCAGGCCGCTCAATCGGTGTTGCGACAGCTTGGCACAGGAGCCACGGAAGGCAGCTGGGGGGAGGTGATCCGCTCCGTTGAGTTGCCACCCTTGCCGGAACTTCGAGAGGGAGAACTGGGCTCACTGGTTTTGGGTGATTGGATTCAGCTCATCTCGCCCACTATGAGGGACCTCAGCGCAACTTCATGGAGATGGTGGGAGGAAGTGTTGCAGCTGGCGATGACCGCCTATCGGGAGTGGCTTCGAGCTGAGCCGGTACAGAGGCTGCACATCAAAACTCAGGTTCCTCGAGAGTGCAGTACGGTGTGGAGCCGGCTGGAACAACGGGGACAGTTGATGCTGCTGAATGCCGTCCCGACCACGATCCGGTCAGAGACCTTGGCGAACCGGGCATCAAGCTCTGTGGACGTGTTGTACGCCCTGTTCTGAAGGTATCAACCAGGTGGACTCGCAGAGCGATCACGTCTTCTACGGCAACTGGTTGAGCCGAAGGCCCCAAAGAGCCTCAATGAGACAGTGGAGCTATTGAGGGGTTGGCGAAGGAGTCTGAGGAGAGCTCAGGAGCTGGAGATCGCTACACCAGACTCAACCCTTTTGTTGGGGGGCTCTCGACCGGATGTCTGAGCAGATCATCAAGGCCTCCAGCCAAGCGGCATTCAGAACTTCTTCCACGAGGGCTGCACTGGGGGTAGATGTGACCCCAATTTGGAATCGGTGTTGAACTTCGCCCATATGCTCACAGCTGAGGCAGAGTCGCTGGCTATGAGTGAGATCCAGCCACAACCCGAAGTGAAGCCTCCAGCATCGGCGACCAAGGTCAAGGTGATGACCACGTTCCCGGAGGACAAGGCGGAGAAGGGGGGCCGGAAAGGCGAAGACTGAAGGGTCAAGAGAAGAACGGGCTTGTCGATTCTGGGGCACGGAGGACGGATGTCGAAAGGGTCAGGACTGCAAGTTCAAACATGACTGGGGCGACCTCGAGAAGAAGGGCCGCTGCTTTGGCTGCTCGGGCATGGGACATGCCAAGAAGGATTGTCCGGCTTCGAAACCTAAGGTGAAGGATTCCCCAAGGAGAAGAGTGCAGTGAAGTCCATGAAGGAAAAGAACTCCACTGGCGTGGTCAAGGGGGAGGCGGTGGATCCAGGCCCGAAGACTGGGGGGGAGTGACTCGGTTGAGGCGACCACCACCAATGAAGGAGACAAGGGGGCCGGTGCATCAGGAGAGATGAAAGACCTTCTGAATGAGGCCACTACGTTATTGAAGAGCCTCCGTCCAGCATCAGCTTTGAAGGCCATCAAGCTGAGCAGTTTGGAGGTGCGGACCAACGACCGGGCGCTCTTGGATGGGGGGAGCGACCCACTGCTTGAGGACGGCCAAATCTGAGGAAGAATGAAGCCGCTGCCGCTGCCAGGGCATTTGGGTAATTCATTTGCATTTGGTGCTTTCATTCTTATGTTTCAAGATCTTCTGAAAGTTTATGTGGCATATCTTCTGGTATATCTTCTGACATTCTGACATTCTATTTGGCATATCTTCTGACATTATGACATTCTATTTGGCATATCTTCTGACATTGGATTTGGCATATATTCTGGCAATCTATCTGGCATATCTTCACAGATCACCTGCTGCTGTCACCAGTCAGTACACAATAAGTATTGTTACACATTGCATAGTTGATAAAGCTATTATGTACAGGAGGCAGTCAGAGATCAAATGACTATAGACTATATTCATATGTGTGAAAAAAAACCTGGCACTTAGGACATATGACATGTATGTGCTGCCCTACACTTCTTCCACCTGTCACCTGTCAGCTGTCGCCTGTTACCTAGAAGACTTTGACAGAAGACAGATGAAACATCTCGGCCGGGGGGTTGGTGTCCACCTGAGAACAAAAGATCAGGGCAAGAAACAATTTGAAGGACAACTTTCACTGAGAAGTAGACTGCAGAGTGCAACTTTCCACCTGCACCAAAAATGATTCAAAACATGTCAAAACTGTTTCCAAAGACTGCGCAACATGGTGCATTGCAAAGAGTGAAGTCGTGACTTCTTAAGCAAGTTCAGCTTACTTTTCCTTCAGCTGCTACAGTCACGGCAAAGTCTCCTCTACGTGGATGCCATTATCCTGCATGACAACACATTCAGCATCATCTTCCTCATCTGCTGCCTGGGAACGACAACACAAAACAACAAAACAAAAAAAAACAACATGGTAACATTTGCGGGGAAGAAAATGAAAAACACAAACATCGCAAATAAATCAACATAAATCAACTAAGTTGCATCATTATGTGAACCATCTGTTTGAATAATCTGGATTGGTCGTGGCACCGTCTGTCGAAACGGGTTGCGGTTGACAGGTGCTGAAGGGACAGGTGACTGATATGCAGCTGGCTCCAAAAAGGAGTACCGTGCTGGATGCGGTTCTCGTCTCAGCGTCCCAGTGATCCATCCACTAAGGAAGGCATGAGCTTTCGGGCTGATAGCCTGCCTCAGTCAACTGTCAGTTAGCTACTTTGTTCAAAAACAACTGTTTTATGACAAAGCAACAAAGATGCTTCAGACAAGATACTTCTGAAGTGCAGCATCTGCCTTCACTTTCACTTTGTTGCGAATCGCCCAAGCCACATGCCTGCGCTGGTGCTCTCCAGATGGCTGCCATGTAAGCCGTGAATGAAGCCCTGGCAAAGATTCTGCTCGGATAGCCACCTCTGCTTGAAAGGGTTTCGGTGAAGATTCATACATATGACATAGAAGCATAATATCTTCTGGATGACCTGGTTCACAATCATACTGAAGGCTGTCCAAATCTTTCACTGACAACATCTTTCGTCTCAAGATCCTGAACAGGTGTGGGGCCTTGGGGCCTGTCAAGCCAGTCATGTTGACTGGCATTTCTGCAAGCCACTTCTCCCAATCTGGGCTTGAGTCGTGCTTCCATGCTTTACGGAAGTAGCAAGACGTTTCCAGAGAAGCATCATCAAGAAAGCGCTGGTATACTTCGACAAGCTCCTGGGCAGTCTCGAATGTCTCATGGGAACATCGGGTCACAGCTTGTCCACCCACTGCGTCCAGGCAGTTGTGAGTGTGTCCTTTCTGAGGGAAACCAATGTTACAAGAATCAATGATGTTCAATGCTGCTAGCTTCAACCACCACCGGATCATTTTTGAGTTTTTGTTGTCACGACAAGTGTTGTCGAGCAACAAAAAGACTTGCCGAGGAAGTCCCACAGTGTCATGCACCCAACACAAACACCGGGCCAGTGAGTCGACTTGGTTGTTGGTGTCCTTGCAAAAGTCAGGGTCTGCAATGGATAGGCTAAAGCCATGACCATGAATCCAGATCATCTGCACGTGACACGCTGGACGGATGAGTTCATCAAACGTCTTTGACTTGATATGTGCTCGGGGCACTTTGTGCTTAGCTTGATCCAGTCCGTCTGAACGAATGACAAGGACAGATGACGGATGACTTCGAACATCTGATGTGACACTCAATGCTCTGGTTTCAAAGGCCAACGCTGTCCATGCACTGTCTGCCGCTCTGTCACGCCAGTTCTGCAGGAGATGTTCAGAGTAATCCTGAATGAGTCTGCTCCGCAGATGAAGAGCTTTCACTCTTTTCAGCTCACGCTTGAACCAAGTGCATTGGTCACAAACTGCGTGTTGTCCTGAAGCCTTCCGAAAGGCCAAGAATTGTTTGGATTGTCGAAGGGCACGTTGGAAAGTTGTAAACGATGGTGCTGTCTTTCCAGGACTGTTCTGCTTATGCCACCGTTGCATCATCTCGAACAAGATCTGGGGCTTGACCACGCCAAGCCATCGGCGCGGAGCTGCTCCTGCTCCTGGGCCTGTCAGTGAATTGTTGAACGGGGTGTCTGTGAGCAGTTGCCTGAGCGACAAAGTTGCCAGCTTTCGCGAGTCCTGCTCGTCCCATTGAGCTTGTGACAAGCTGGAAGCTGAATCGGAACTGCTTTCTGCTGCAGGTGCTTTGTTGTCACTCACTGCTGTGACAAGAAATGATGGCCGTTGCAATGATGGTACCTCCTCAAAATGGAATCTGTCTGGCAAACTTTCACCGTCATGGTGATATCGCAGTTGAAGAAATCTCATACATATATCCAGCTGCTTGTGGTGAGGTGCCTGAGGAAGCCTGTTTCCTTTCTTTCTTTGATCTGCATGGCCTCCAAGAACCTCAGTATCAAGCTGCTCCCGCAGGACAGTTCAAGGCCTGAAGGACATCAAGCCTGAACAAATACATTTAAAAACAACAAAACTTGAAACAAGCCTGAGAAACTCTGGCATAGCGGCCTGAACCAATTCCCAGCAAAAATTTTGCAGAGCCCACGCAAACAAAACAGTTCTCCTCACACACGACGCCCTTGAGGTTAACTGACAGGGTCTTGCTCTTTGTCTTGCGTGCAGTGTACTTCCGCTTTCCTGAGGCATGAGCAAGACCTGGTTTGCTCAGAGATTTCGGAACATCTGTATCGCATGTCAAATTCAATGCCTCTTGGTCACTCCCAGAAGTAGAAGTGCTCACCACTTCCAGCCCATTGTCATTTGGAGATTTTTCAGTTTCTGTTGATGAACCTTCAGATGGCTGCCTCGGCCTCAACGCTGGCTCTGCTCCTTCTTGCTGCTCTGGGCGGCTCCGACCAAAAACCCACAGCAGCTCACGATCTTGGACATCAGAGGTGAGACCCTGAAATTCCCTTCGCCAATCACACAACTTTGAACGAAATGCTTTGACCCTGTCCAAACAATCTTGGCCACATGACAGGCAACCTTTGCCAAACTCAATTGCCTTGTCCAATTTCTGCTGGAATGTCAGCAAGAAATTCTGCTGAGAATTGGTTGACTTGTCAGCTACACTGCGCTGGACAGCCCGCACTGTTTTTGCTTTGGGTTTGGCCTTGGCCTTTGACTTTGCTTCAACGTCTACAAGAATCTGAGCGCTGCCTGCAGCATCACTGTTCTCAGTTGAAGTCGAGCTGCCATCCATGCCATGGCAGGCTGCAGGGGTTGTTTTATCACCTATCGTATTGAATTGTCACCTGTCTCCTGTCAATGTCTTTCTGGATGCATGTCACCTGTCAATGTCACATGTCACCTGTATACAATCTGTGACAAACAAACTCTTCGTGGAGTCTTTGCCATTAATGATGCTCTTATCTAAGCCACCAAAAGATTCGAAAAACAAAAGCACATCTATGAACAACATCCATGAACCACAGTTGCTGTATTGTTTTCAAACCGTTGCGCAACACGTGACCACAAAAAGCAACTTTACATCTTTTCCCCCCAGTGCTCACTGCATGTTGACAGGTGAGTAGTGCAGCAAAATGCTGAACAAAATGCTTGCAAACACGTTTGCCGTGAATGCATTGCCCGCCAAATCCTGGGCGTGCTTGAATGGAACATCCTTGTCTAGGCCGCACATCTGAAGCTCCTCTTGTGAGAGCCCCTGCAATAGGAACGGTAAGACAGGAGACTTGTTCACAGCAGCTTTGTCTGGCGTCAAGTATACAAACTTTTTACTGGGCAAGACACAGGGGTGCACCTGTGAGCGGAACTTGATAAACTGCAAGCTATCTCCAACTGGAGCGACTAGCAGTTTCGGAAGGGTGGTCTTCTTTGCCATCAGTGCAATGGCCAAAATGCTGGCATCAATCTCGCGTTCTGTCAATCCAATCCTGCCCCCCTTGCTCCTTGATGACACCGGCGAACGGGTGCTCCAAGTCAGACTTGCCCAGGCCATTGAGTTTGACAAAGTTGGAGTGATAGTCTCTCCATTTCCTTGAATGACACATCACTACACCACGACTACACTACCCTTGGACAGCAAACAAAAAATGACAGTGTTACCAAATATAGAAGTTCAAGATTCTCTGATATCTTCTTCTTTGTTTTCTTTGAACCTTTCTGATCACCTGTGCGTGGGTCCTCTATGCCTGCGTTCAAGCCAACGCTCAAGATATGCTCCAAAGACTCAGGTGGTTTCTGACAAGCAAAGATCCTTTGCCAGATCTTCTCAAGCTGGGACATGTGCACTGATTTCCCCACAGTGCCTCAACTGTGTATTGAATGCACAAAGTGCCTGCCACTGAGAAAAAACACCACTTGAAAACAAACAGCCGCCAAATTGCTGAATCCAGCATCCATTCTTGCAAAGACTCCCCAGGCACGGGTTCGACTCTGAGGTACACCGAAGCACTTGCTGTTTATGACCTGCAGGGCGCAAACTAACCAGTGAACATGACATGTAATGTGAAAGCAAATATGGAACCCCCCCATAATCAATCAAATTCAAACAGGACATGTGCCTTGAAGATACCACAGTAGCCACGCTCTGCAAGCTCAGTTTGCACCACTGCTGTCCCGCGCTCTTGCACCACTTTGCGAAGCTTGGCCAAGGCCGCAACGCATTCTATGACAATGAATCTTGGTCGAGAAGACCATTGGACACTGGAAAGCCACTGAAGGAATTCAACCTCAGAGTGGTAAATAGCAGTCTACTCATTGGATAATTTAATCAAAGGCACCAACAGATTGGATCAATTAATCAAAGGCACAAAACTGCTTCCACTCTTTCCTGTGACATCCAGCACTCCGCGCGGCGTTCTGCTCAATGTAGAGATGTCGTCGCACTCGATCGCTTTCACTGCTATGTCGCAAGTCATCTGTCGTGACATTGAAACAAGGTCACCTGTCCTTGAAATAATGTTGAACATGGTTTGGCCATCTACTGCCTCATGGACCCTCTGAATGATCTTCTGTTTCCATGGCACACATTCTGTATAGAAAGCTGCGCGGAATCGAACTGAGAGGCCATGTTCTTCTTCTAAAACTCGAGAGATGGCAGCAGCACAAATGCTCCCTGTGGCCATTCCTGCACAGAACTCACCAAGTGCCACCTCTGTCTCAGAAAAAGTCCTTCTGACAAGTTCCACTTGATCAACTTGAAGACCTTTCACAGCAGCTCGCATAAAGTTGATCAAGTTGAGGCTGGTGTTGGAAGTAGGACCGCCGTCTTCAGAGTCGGACTCCTGAAAGGCATGTGTAAAAAGGCATGACATGTGTGAAAAAAACGAGTGAAACCACAAACATCCAAGTGGACGATTTCAACCATCATCGTCTCCTCTGGGCGTGATGGCGCTTTCCGCTTTCCAGCTGCGTGATCTTCCCAAGAAGCAGCAGCTGCTGCGATGCGCCTAGACTCTTCAGATTGACTTGAGCTAGAGGTGGAAACGTCACTGCCATCATCTTGAACTTTGGCTTGGGTGGCTGGTCGGCTGCTGGCACTTGCAGACACTGGCCTTTTGCAGGCTCTGCCCCGGCCACATCCTTTCCCACGAGCTCGTCCACACACTTTGATGGGTTTCTCCGGCTCAGACTTCTCGGTTTCTGTTGAGCTCATGACAGGTGACCAGGGACAGGAGACAAATAACTTTGCACATTGCAGACAGCAGACCAAATTATATGGTTTGGGCCAAATTGAAAACACAACAGCAAGCGTCAGAATCATTTCAAGACCATTGCAACAGGAAGACTCAAATCACAGCAACTGACAAAATCAACTCACCAAGCGCAGCTGCCTTGTAGGAGGCCACAGGCTTCACCTTGGAATCACTGCTTTGGACAGGGTAAGATCTACCTACCAAATGGACAACTCACAAGATTGAAGTATTGAAGTCAACGCTGATCATGCTGACTAATTAACTGGCTGCTGCATTTTTTCACTGAGAAGCTGGAACGGTCACATCGACAGGTGACTCAAAGTCACTAAGGAATCTAAGGATTCCAAACCCTATGACACAGATGGTATCTAATCCAAAAGCCATTCCTGGCCAGCTGTTTTCAGCCACTTCTCAGCAGCCTTCATCGCAAAGGGCTCATAGTCGGGCAACTCCAATGCCTCGTCCTTCCATTGATCGCGGCAATAGGTCCAGAAGTCGCCCTGGCAGAAGTGACAGGTTTCAAAACAAAAAACATGACACAGAACAAAACAAAAACAAAGTAAACATGTGTTTGGTGACTGTCAACCGCTATGCTAACAGAACCCCACCTCCTTGTTCCTGCAGATCTTGTTCTTGATCACAGTGTTGTAGGCCTTCTCGATGGCCTTGAACCTAGTAGAGCCATCAGGTCCAGGAGGACATGGGCGATTGGCGAAGGTCTTGCGCCCTTCCGTGGCCTTCTGCTTCTTGGTGCTGGTGCCCTCCTGCTTGTTGGTGGGCTTTTTCATGGCAGCAGCGGGCCTTTTTTTCAAGGGCGACTTAGTAGGCGACTGGTTGCCATCATGCTTCTTGCCGTTGTTCCTCTTGGTGTCAGGTGACTTTTGGTCTTCCAATGCCAGCTGGCCATTTTCCAATGCTAACTGGACTTGACCTGTCTCATGATGGAATTCCAATGACAAAGAAGTCTTGGGAGCCTGCAAACTCCCCCCATGAACAACCTGCCGCTTCCTGGGACGAGTCTTTCTCATCCTGAGCATCATTTGCAAGTTCACTGACTGAAGGGCGCCACTTCACAGAAAGTTGCTTGCTTGAAGCATTTTCACTGTCTTCATTGCTTGGAGGCTTGTTGTCCTTCTTCATACCTCCAGGGAGCATCTCCTTGAAGACAAAATCAAATGCTGCCTGCCCCGCCATTGGACAAGATGCTATGAGACAGGTGACACAAACTGAGACTGAGGACTGAGAACAGCTGCGGCGATGGCAAGGAAACACTGATCAGACTCATCAGACTTGACGCCATGCTTGTGAAAAATGCCAAGAAAACTGCTTGGACTGACCTTGTTTTCCCTCGGGATCACCCAGGTTTCTTTGATGTATGGAGCTGGAAAACGCTGACTGAAGAGGGGCGGTGGGCAATTGCCTTGCCGTCAAATTAGAGTGAAAAAAACCCAAAGCTATTCACTCAGAGACAAATGCCTTCACGCCGCTCAGGAACCCTTGATCTTTCACTCTTCCTTGACCAACTTGATGGGCTTGTTGGACTCAAGCTTCAAATCCCGGTTGACAGTGACAAAGGGTTTTTTTGAGGCTCAACTTGGCATGGACCGCGTGCCACTGGCACCGCCACATCCACGTGAAATTGGGATGCAGTGGCTTCAGCTGCTGAGCCAAAGGGCGGAATGCATTTCCCGAAGAGAAACTTTTGGGATCCTTGTCCTTGGGAACAAAGACCCAAGGCTTGCCCTCATCTGCTGTCAGGTCGTAGCCATGTTCGCCCAGCGCTGCATCCCCTTTTGAAACAACCTTGTATCCTGTGACCGAGATCTCCGTTGCTGGGGAACTCTTCATCAAGTCCTTCACCACCATGTAGAAAGATCCTCTCTTGCACTTGCTATTGTCCTCATCCTCGTCCTCGGCATTGGAGCCAAAATTCACCTGACAATGGCAATGACTCTGCGTGTCACCGGTCACTGTGCCAAGTCCTACAATGTCAATGATGGTTAGAGTCTGTCACCTGTCAATTTGCCAAGTCACCCTAAACTTCACCTGTCACCATCACAAAATAAACATAATGAAACAACATGAGCTGGCCTCAAGAAGATCTCTGTCAGAACTCAGTTCAAATTTGACGCCAGGCTCATCTCCCTGAATCAACTTGCCACTGCCGCAACCTCCAAGACGCGTGCCACGCTTCAAAGTCACATTATCCTTGCTGTAGATGAATGGCACACCTTTGTCCGAAACCAAAAGGATCACATTCTTGGGGTCAAAGGCTTTGCACTCCACCTTGATGGTGTACTTCTCTCGAACTTTGGCTTCGCTTTCAAAGGCTGGCATGGTCTCAGGTGTCACTTCTGTCTCAGCAGTGGTGGGACGTGGATCCACGGTCTGCAGAGTGGGTGTGTCACTCTCTGGCGTCAACTTGGACTTCAAGAGCTCCCCGAAGTTCTCAAGGTGAGAGGCCTCCAGAGCTTCAAACCTTTCACGGATGAAGTGAGGACTTTGGGTAAACTCTGATTTCACCTGTGAGGAGAGGACCACTTTGCTTCCACTGATCTGGAGAACCTTCAACTTGGACCCAAGAGCGCGCACTCCTTCATAAGCATGCCACACCCCTTCCATGGTCTTCAGGTGCTTCAGGTCATCTTCGGACAAAGCCTTAGTGAACAAACAATTAAAACCATCACAAAACATATGCAAAAACATATGCAAGCAAAGACATATGCAGTGAACCGTTGAAAAAAAAACAAAACATATGCAAGCAAAGAACTTGGCAATCAATGTCAGGGCTGATGGTCTTACCATCCAGCTCCAACTTCAACTCGTGCTTCATCCAGCGCTGTGCCAGCCAATGGCCCAAGCGCTTGACACACCAATCGGCTGCCTGGACAGATGACTTCAAAGACTTCAGCTGCACAATGAAGTGCTTGATGGCAACTCCGGTTGGAAGTTCGTCCTTCATCAGCATGGTGGCCAAACAGTGGTCCCCGACATGTGAATGAAGGTCCACCATATGAACCTCATCATTGGCTTTCAAGAGCCCTGTGAGGTGTGGCTTCCGAAGCTTGCTTGTGCTAAGCAGTGCTTTGTAGAGCTGAAAGGAGGCATCACTGCCTTTCTGCGCCGATCTCGTACTGGGCATATATCGCACAGCACGTTCTGATTCTGCCGCTGATGATATTGTGACCATCTCTTGGCTGCCGATCAACATGGCAGTCGGAGCTCGTCCCGTGCGGGCGAGTTCGGACAACGATGCAAAATGATTTTCAGCAACTGCCTTCTCCAAATCATTGTAGAGGTAAAACATCCGGCCACTGGCCGTGAAGTCCCACTGTTGCTGATTGTATGACCTGAGTTCACAAAAAAGTCCAAATATGAATGAAGCCAGCTGTCACAGACTGTCACAAGCAGTTTGCAATCACATTGGAACCTGTCACTTGTCAGACACCTGTCAGACTGATCAAAGCCAAGACACTCTTCGCCGGGGACGGTGAGGGCTTGGCTCCAAGCATGCTGTGCTCCAAATCCGGCCAGTTTCATGCTGCGGCAAAAATCAACAAAATCCTCAAGTGGATCTGCGGTGCTCTCCTCCTTTGAGCGACTTGCCATAGTCGCAAGAATCACAGTATTCTCCACACCTGTCACAGTGTCCCAATGTCCAACACCTGTCATAGGAAAACATGAACTTAACACTGTAACAAGTGGCCTTGGGTTCGGCACAAGTTGGCCAAGCCCGTGATCAGTTTTGGCTGGATCAAGGCGTTTCGGGCCTCAGTCTGAAAAATCAATGCGAATGATATGTCATCACAAGTACAAAACGTTTCAATAACAATAATGATTCAAAGGAACGCCGGGCACATTGAAGTCGCAGATTGCAACCACCAGCTTCTTGCCCTTGATCTCCGTGGTGACATTTGAAGACATGGTGGCATAATGGCCTGGAAGTTCGGCCATGTCATTCAGCTCACATACCGGGCTCTGCTTCTCCTGGTATCTCTGCACCAACTCCTGGGCTGTCTTTGCAAGAGCCACCTTCTTCTTGCAAGCCAGCCAATCGAGGCAGTCTTGCAAAGTCTCAAATCCTGCGGGTGAACATGGACAGTCAGTGACAAACACCAAAACCACACACACAACATGGACAGGTGACAAATGACATGTATTGTATCTATTTGTTTTGTATTTGATATCGTTGTTTTCTATGGACTCAAGAGTAGCAGTTGATGACTTGCTTGGATAACTGTCTGGCATACAGTGTCCTGAGCTCATGGATGACAAAAGCCTTTGATCAACTGCCAGTTTCGCCTCCAAGGAACGAAGCTTTGCTGTCCTTAAGCCGCAGCAGCATGTTGCACGAAAAACTATCAAAACAACATGAACTTCATTTCCCAAGAATTTGGCTGAAGATCCATTCTTCTTTTTCAGCTGTCTCAACGAGCGATTCTTTGTCTTCATGCGCAGCATCGTAATCAGTGGCCAAAGCAGCCACGTCTGGAAGCATAGTGACATTCCAAGCCATGGGCCATTGCTTGATGCACGCTTTGATTTGCGCATCGAGGGCCTTGAGTCAAATTACTCAGTGATTCTGCAAGTTTAATGGGTGCAAAAAAAAGGACAAGTCTTAATGCAAGTGAGCGGCATCCCCTTTGAGGACTGCATCCCGAACATTCTCAAAGTCAGCGGGCTTCAAGTCAGTGAAGCAGCACTCTGCAATGGTACGGGTCCAGGATGTAATGACAAAGCGGTATGTCCACAAATGCTCAACAGTGATCTTGGCACATCCATGGTTGTTGGAAAGGGTGTCCTCATGGATGCTGAGAATCTTGTCCATGATCAAGTTGTGATCTGCTGGTGACAGTTCTCCACCAAACTCCAACTGCTTTGACCTTGGACAGTGTTTGAATGAATCATGAAAACCTCATAGGAAAAAAGCATGTGAGTGGTCACATATCATACAGCAAAG